AAAGCCAAAAATGTGTTCGCCTTCTTCATCGCAAGTCCCGCACCTGTGGTCCTTGTTGGTCCTTGTGGGACTTTCCCGACTTACTAGGTGCAAGTGGTGAAAATTTGAAGGATTTTTCTCCTAGGGTTTGTTTGTGCTCTTAGGTCGGTCATTAATCTGTCACCCACGACAGTTTTGCTTCTTATATGTTGTTTGTATGTTCCAAAATACAATTGTGTGTGAACTTGAACCAGACATTCTGCACATACATTTGGGCAACGGAGAGCGTAGTCCACTATTCAGAAAAATACGATTATTATTGATAATTAAATAATTTGTCGTATTATTAAATCATTAATAATTAAAATCTTGGTCCATTGCTAAATTCAGCTGCACTTCAAATTATAATTGAGTTATCGTGCAATTTCTGACCTGCTGAAAATTTGCTGCTGGGGCTGTCACCAGATCGACTACAAATATTAGAACTATTCGATAGTATATCGATTAATTTCATTGATCTAGTGATGCTTCGCACCTTCTGCAAATCGCTGGGCACACAGGATTGATCCTGGAGTACACTCCTGGAGTAGTGCAAGCGTACGTCAATTAATAAAAATATTCTTGTGTGAAAATAATTTGTATAACTTATCGTTGCAAAGCTGGGCTTCCAAACCGTGATTTAGAAGTTGAACATCGTCATTCTTACAAAAATCATAATCAGAATATAACCTTAAACTAGTCGAGCATTGAGCGACTAGAAGAGAAGAAAAGAAACTATGAGAGTGTTTTTCTATGTTAAAATTTTATTCACAATGTATGTTAATGTTTAGAAATAGATCATTGAAGCTTTTTTAATAACTGTTACAACCTCTTCTTCAAATTACCCATAAAGTCAGTCTGCAGCAGTCCAAAGTTTACCTCTTTTTTGAACACAAGACAATTTTTGGGGTCGTATCGTTTACTTGATTTCGTCAAGCTAGTCGAAATAACTTATTTAAGAAGTAACTCACACTCCATTGTCATCCATATCTGCGGCGTTTTCATGTACAAAAAGTTATAAATTACCAAATAACACTTCTAATGACCCAATGTTCACCATATAGTAACATTCGGAAAGGTGATGATTCTGTCGTTTACTAACGCGTCCATATCCTTTTTCCCAACGTTTTCTGCCATTTTTTATTGTAAACAAAAGTTCATGTCTTACGGAGTGGTCTAACTTAACTGGAAAATGCACCCGCTGTTCCTATGAAAATGTTCCAATGAAATAATGTTAAGGATAATTCTATTCAATTTTCGTTCCGCACCAAACCAGTAACCCTTACAAGCTTAACTTACCATTTTTCGAGCATGATACAGAGATATCTTATTTATGAACACTCATACTGTGCTGTAAGAGTTACAAGTGCAGATCCTTTTTTACGGGTGATATTTCATTACCGTTATTACTTTGCCACTTTCTTACGTCTAAAGCAAAACCGAAGGATAAGACTTTAAGTTTCACTGGTATCATAAATGGCCATTCTAATAAAAAATCTCATCATCTTCCTGGGACTCGATGTCTACCGCAATATTAAAAGCTGCAAGGTGGTCGCAAAACAAAGTGGTACCAATGATTCCTTTTTTTAGTTGCGCTAGGTATTTTGTAGGAAGTGAATTTCTTTGATTGTAGCAATCAACTAGAGCATTTACCGAGTATGACAAGCAACCTTATCAAATGTTTACTCGGAAGTTGCTTCTTGTCATATTTGTCTTGGTCTACTTTTGTTAGCAAGTATATTCAGTTTCACAAGTAGCCATGAACTGTTGAGTGAAGATAACTAACTGATTGGATAACTTTAAAGTTACTTTTATAATTTTTTGCGGATAAGGCTCAAAGCTTAATTCGATTAATTAAATAATAGAGGAGATCGTCCAGTTACGGATGCAGTCGTGGATTCATGGAATTTTTCAAGAAAAATGCTAGATTTTCTATGGAAAGAGTCTCGAAACTATGCTTCCTACCATCCTTAAAAGATAGAGAAATTGCTCTCTCAAGTTACATCTAGTGGTGCGAACTCGCTTGAATAATCACTTCGACCTGTCCTTTCCTTGTAACTGGAGGTAGATTATGTAAAAAAGAGGATTTTAAATTATATTTTTCATTTGACTAAAAATCAAAAGTCATTTAGATAATATTAAAAAACAGTGAAAATCTTAAAACAACATAACCGTGAACATGATAGGAGGCCGTTCTGAAAAGGACGCTGGAAGGCGTTTTGGTGGTGCTAAAAAGGAAGAAACTTGCAACAGAGGAGCTTCATATAACAAAAAGAAAGGACGTTGTGAATGTGACAATCCGGAAGCAGATGCTAAAATTGCAAATCCGGAAAAATACGGACACTATCCACCAGTGGGTTAATCAGATTTTTACAGCATGATTCTCATATCTATTTCTTCTTTTCTTAACTTGAATGCTTTCTCGAAAAACTTCCAGACTTTGTTGTATGTCATTTCGGTATATTCTTTGATTTTTCCAAATAAATTTAAAGAACGAGAATATAAATAAAAGCTGGTTCAGGGTACCATTTGCTTTGATTGTGGAAAAGTTAAAGAAGGAAGATCTTTGGTTTTTTTACTTGATAGCACTGGTAGCGTTGGACAAGAAGGCTACGATAAGGTTTTTAACTACTTTAACTACGCTGCTTTTTACTCAATAAGCGGCTAAGCATCAATAACGTCAATCAGAAATAAAAAGTCATACTAGCTTGTTCTTATCTCTATATTATATGTATTCTCAACTATTTTTAAGGATTTCAATGATAGATGTATTCAGCAAATTAACTTCATGAAGATGATTGTGAAGAACATAAAACAGATCAGAACAGGAATTGTCAAAGTCATTCAAATTCCAATTGTCTCACTTGAAATGGGCCAGCACACTCCAGATCAACTGAAGTACGCAGACTTTCACCTACTGGTTATATTTACCCATGTAGTACCTCAGGACTTTATCATTTTACTACTGAACGATAGTCATTGACATAGTCAAGCAATCGAAAAGTTAATGCGATTTTCTTCAACTTCCAAAACGCGGCAAAAAGGAAACAATCTGTCCTAAACACGCAATCAACACGGAACATTGTCTATTTGTAGTTTAAGCTTAGATTCACCCTGAAATGACAAGCAAACTGTGAAACGCGACGTGATTGTAGAGAAGTGGGTACGCCGCTGCCCAATTATTGAGATCTAGAAAGATGAACCCATTACCCTCTCATTGGCGTTTTCTGCCACATCAACGCTGCTAGGCTAAGATGTCCTTAAGTTACGAAAGTGATTTCGCAAGATATGATGAGGGCTCCTTTTCTGTTACTATCACTAATTGATTGCGCGGTTTCTCCTTCTGAACATAGGTTCGATACCAGAGACAGGACAACAAAAGTGATGGTGATTTTAACTCGCTTTCAGAAAGTGATAGTGGTTTTCGACATAGGTAGCTGACTAGAGGAAACAAGCAAATTCTCTTGTTTCACATCAACAATTAGTGGAACAATTCCTTTTTTCTTGTAATTAATAAAAAGTGTAGCGGAACACCATAACAATTTTTTAGACATTCTTCATGCTTCCCTTCCTTTTTGCGCATATGTATCAACAAGTTAAGGAGC